GATGGTCCAGAAGTACAGCGAGCAGCACCAAAAGAGACCGGTTCACTGTGAGACCTGCTACTCAATCTCTTACAGTGCAACGGCCCCCACTGGAGCTGCCCGATCCTGGCCCATGGGAGATAAGCACGCTGACACCATGGAAAGTGTGCAATCTGCATCCTAACAAGTCTGCATAATGGCCTTCTACAACCCAGTAAGCAGTGCTCCAAGCATCTCTTGATCCAGATAATGAATGGAAAAAGGCTGTACAACGGCGCAGGAGCCTGATGTATTCCTAGGGGGCACTGTTGAGAATGAAAGCCAATTTAAATTAGCACCTCTCTAGATTTGTGAGGGGTGTATATACTACAAACGTAACTGGTGAGTTGACATCACAACTGGGTGATTTGGATAACAAAGCTACTGTACTGCCAAACAGGAAGCAGCTAAGCTTAATATCGATCATCCTCATGTTTACCGTGTGATGTCAGAACGGCTTTTGTTGGATGGCTTCTTGCATGAACGTGAAGGGCGCCACCCCTGGGCAAAGACTTACTGTCTAATGATGATAAGACAAATGATTCACGATACGTCTGAGAGTTTGGAATTTTGCATTAGATGCAAGCCTACACTTCATTGCCGGAGTAATTGCACTTTTTGCAAAGCTACCCAAGTTGTATCTTAAAACACCATCCTATGTGATACACAAACTGTCGGCCGGCACATCGGCCATATAAGAGTCCTGCATATATATCCACAGCTCCACAAAGACACACAGGAAGAGTTTTCTCTCTCTCTTTCACTTCCGACTGCCATGTTTGTGTTTATTAAAGCCAGTGAAGTATACAGGTCTCCCAACAAATCATGCATGAACAAACCTGTCATAGTGCAAAATGGCATTTTGGAAAGGAAAAAAAACCCCATCAGATTTATAGTTTGTTTCAAAAGCAGTAATGTTAATCCATGGGGAATTCATGCGTTTTTTTTTTTTTATAACGTGTTTCTGTCAGAGTCTGGTGCAAAGTGAAAATGGTTCTCTGTGGCTGTTTTGATCAGCGATGCGTGGTCCGATCAAGGCCGTCGACTGGGGGCTCTGCTCCCGTAATTGGCCATAGAAAAATCTGGTCGTGGGTCAGGATAAGTCAACTTAAATGAGCAAAAACCGGCTCCTCTTTTGGCACCGGTCACATTTCAGCTTATGGCTCTCGGAACCTCCCCTGAGATGAAAGGCTGTTATATGAGGAAGAGGAGGCGCATGATCGAGGAGGCGGTTCATCGCCACGGCTGCGTCCTACACGACCGCGCCAATTAAATGTGATTAATCGCTACATGTAAAAAAAAAAAATGCCCCAGGGGGAGAACCAGCGGATAACCGTAACCGTCCCGATCTACATCCATCTAAATTAGGCTGAAAAAGAGAACCGGAGAACGGCTAGGAGACGCCGCGTGGGGAAGCCCTTCGTTGGCTTAAAAAGCCAATCAAAAAACAATGATGTCGTCTCAAACCAGCCGATTACCAGGTTGCTTGTGGAATTCATTTAGTTTTGTTTTCACTTGTGCTTCTTAAGAAGTTAGCTGGCTGCCAGCTGACTCAGTCCTTCACAGCCGACTATTATGTGAAATTTTCCATTTTCAGATTCAAATATCTACACATCCCTGTGAAGGGTTGACTCCCCATCCTGGATTGTTCCCTGCTTTGCGGGCTATTCTCCAGACCCACCCACCCCCCCCCGACCCTGAATAGGATAAGTGGTTACAGAAAGTGGATGGATGGATGGAACCTCTACGCATTCTGATGCATACAACGTTAGTATGTGTCTTTGAAAAATCACTGTATGTACATGCGTCTGACGTCTGAGTCAAAAATATACAATCGTATTATTGGAAAAATAACAGATGAAGGAACTGGTGTATATTTAAATTTAAAACCAGATACGCAACGTTTCATTTAATAATTCATGTCGCTAAACATTTATCATGCATGACATCGGTTATGTGACAGACACAAATTAAGGCCTTAATAAATGAAGAGAAGCTGTAAAAATGTTGCTGGCAGCCCACAGAATGAGGCCAGCAAGGTCAAACATACAGTAAGATAGATGCTGTATTAGATTAAGTCCCTCTGAAGAACACAAATGGTTACAGGTTCGTGACGTCCCGAGCACCCCCCCTTAGGGCCCCCCTCCTCTCCTTACACCCTTCCAACCCCACAACTCCTAAAAAAAGAAAACATGTATAAATTATAAGTGAGAAATGTATACAGAGATTAAACAAAAGCAAATATATATTCCTGGGAATTCATTGTCTAAATCTAATTGCACAATTCTAATCCTCAGAAGACTACCAGTTACTGCAGGGCATTTTCTAGGTCTGTCATATTATTATATATCAAATAAAATCATTTTGGACATTTGAAAAGAGGGCAAAAAAAATCATGCGTTACAGTACTAAATGGGAAAAGAGCTACAAAAAATCATTATTTAAAAGTATGAGTGCTAGAAAATTTGTCTCAGAGTTTTGAATCTATGCAGTCCTTTGGAAACATACTTACTGTAAGACACAAACTCTCAGTGTGAAAGGAAATAATGAATCCTTTGAGAAGACAATGATCAACAAGCCTGGCTGACTTCTCTTGCTTTATAAAACAAATCTCTCACCTTATAAAATCTCTTTTCTCATAAAACAAGATTCTGGCTGAGGAAATTCTCAGGTTCCTTCTGAAAGCTGAAACGCCCACGTATCCGCAGTCCCATTCATCATCGTCGCGAGGCCCGACACGCTACCGACTGGCTGCCAGAAGAAGAAAAAGGAAAAAAAGAAAAACAAAAAAAGGCGACAGCTCGGACTCGCCGCGCCGAAAGCGGCAGATCGCGAACCGGGGCGGCCTGTCCCGGAACGCCCACGTGACGGCGAGCGGGAACAAAAGCGGCGGGTGAAAAATGGATGCAATAAAACAGCGAACCACCTGCGGTTTGGCGTCCCCCGACGCAGAGGGCTGCAGACACCAGAGATGGGGAGAATTAACGAGGAAGACGGGCAGGCAATGTGTGGGGAGCACAGACGGCTTGGCCCAGGCCGTGACTGACAGACGAGTGGAAGAGGCTTCGCAAACACACCCACGCTTTCTGACACATTTTGGGTTACGGCGCAAATGTTGTGAAGAAATATTTAACAAAAATGTTTCATTAAATATATTTGTTTTCCATGCTAGGATAATCTACCAGGAGTTACTACAGTCTTCTGCCGATTCCAATAAATACTCACTTTACTGAAAAAGAGGATTTGCTGACCAGCACGTCTTTCTCTTGTGTGTCGGGGACACAGATCGGTAGCCTGTTCCTTCCTAACTGGGCAGAGGAGGCTGACTGAAAAAGGTCTGGGTCCCCCAAAAAGGTCCAGAGGCCGCTCTAGGTACCGCTGAGAGCTTCTTCCTGTAATTGGCCATGGAGAACAGCTGTGCACCACCAGAGGAGCAGCCCTTTATCTCAGTGTGCTCCTGAGGGAACGTGACGGAGACTCGTGAGCACGAGAAGCTGCTCTTGGACATGGCCACAAAATGGCAGCTTGGAGCCTAGACACGATTCAACATAATCAATTAGCAGAAGCTCGTTTCCAAAGCTACTTAGAACACAGTTAGTTATTTTACATACATATTTAGGGAACCACAAAAGATTGAGCACCATTTAGACTTCCTTGGATTTTTTTTTGTTATATATTTATTGTGTGATTGCATAAAAAAAAGCCATAAAAATCTAATTTGACCAGCTTCCTGGTATTAAAATAACCATTATTATTAGGTAATCGAATTAAAATTATCTGGGGATCTGGGGATCAAATCCCACTCTGTTTGTGGATCTTACAAAGGCATAGAAAAAAACAGCATTTGCTAAAAAAGGATTGGTAGCCCATCGAAGGGGTTGCCCTGTACTGCCCGGTGATAGCCCAACCCCCCCCCCCCCACAAACCTGTAGCAGATAGATTGATGGATGTTCTAATTAATTATTGAAATGAGTTTGTTTTTTCCAAAATGATAATTAGCCAAACAGCAGAATGGATTATTTCTAATTTGTTTTCACGAAATATATAAAGTGCTTTGACATCACATTAGTTTCCTCATGAATTATTGATAATCTTCCTCAACTTTTCACTCCATATGTGATAAAAAAGTACATAATATACGTAATAAGGAAAGACATAACAAAGGCTTATAGTGACTAAATATTCAAGGTTTGCAGACTTTGGGATTATCATCACTGGGTGTGGTCATCACAAGCAGCCAATCTGCTTTAGGCAATTTCTCAGTGACTATTTTATTGGCTCCCATTTCTTTTAACCACGCAGCGATTAGCAGAATGTGCTAGCCCCACCCATGTCCTTTCACAACCCTGAAAGGCTGAAGGTTCTTAACGTTGCAAAATTCTGGCAATTTCTAAGGCAGTCGCTGCTGCTCTTACTTTCCTTTAGGAAGCAGAAGTAGCTCAGCCTCACCTCCATAAATAAGCACACGGCTCAGAACGGAAACTGGGCCATAACTGGACTTCAGCGGAGCCCACCCGAGATCGATCTTCCGAAGCTGAACACGGTGACAGCAAAATTTGCCACGTAAACTGCTATAAAAATACAGGCTGTTTATGCACAGTAAATGTGTCACAGGCTTCTGGCCCATTTTGTAACCTATTTTAAAGGGTCAGCTAATATTACAGCAGCACTTTAAAATACAGTCGCCCTATTCCACGGTGGAAAGCGCCGCACCTTAGGAATTGGGTTGCGTCTATCTTTGTTCGCCTCCTGCAGAAGCAACGTGAAGACGGAGAGGAAGATTCTTGCATGTGAACTAATTTCCCTGCCTTGATAGCTGTACCTCCTCCTTACATGCAAACTGGACATTTTTATTTGCACTGAACGAAGAAGCTGCCATCATCTCAGGACTTATTTGCGTCCACAGCTCCCCTTGAACGATGAGCCGATACGATTTTACACAAATGCACCACTGGGGGCAGCCCGGTTCTGCGGCAGCCTACCCGAGGGACCGGCTGACCTGTCCTTGATCGCGTTCGCCGATGCCGCCGGGATGCTGTCGTCCTCCCCCCCCCCCCGGGCTGCCTCCTGAACGGCCTGCTCCGAACAGGTGGCCGGCGGGGGCACCATCTGCATGCACAAAGACAGAGAAAGCCGATCGGATCCCCGAACTCATGGACACAGTGGGAAAGAAAAAAAATAAACAAATCAAGAACAGAGAGATCAAGCATCCAGCATCCAGATAGATAGCTATCTATCTATAAATTCTTAGTATTTTATTTATTGTGCTGTTTATTTTCCCCACATCAGTTGCCTGTGATGTATGACAAATGATGTGTCTGTTTTTAACATGTGTGTCTATGGTTGAGGATTATTCACTGCAAACCAAGCCTACCTACGGGGACAAATAATGCAGCCTGAACCTGAACAGATAGAGGAGAAACAGCCCTGTACTGGCTAAGTGATACATAAGAGCAATAGATGGATGGATGAAATAAACAGTGTAGAGAGAGGTATGGTTTATAAGACTCAGGGACTGATGGAACAAGCCTTAGCAGAGACACTACAAAAAAAAAAGAAAAAAAAATGATTATGGCCTCCATTGTGAGCCGGGGGCTTTGATAGTTGAAGCAGATTCTTATTGGCCGTGCCAAAGTGGCCCTAACAGTCATCCTTGGGTCTCGGGTCATAAACAAGCAGGGATGATGCCCGGTAATGTCTGCGGCTGCTGACCCGGCCACACTCAGAACTACAGTCTGCCCCTGGTCTGGGGCTGAGCCCTTTGGACGTTTCTCTATGAGCTACAGTATCAGATGAAGGCGGAAACAAAGCAGGAGGCACCGTTACAAAGTGCTGCCTTTTCCCTTTGTGGGGCCTCTGTCTGCCCGGAACGTTCCTCTTTCCCGACCTTTTCCACGCAGGTATGGATGATGCGATTCAGCTGTGCCGAGCTGAAGTCTATGCCGTTTGAGGAAGTTTTTCGGGGGGAAGGAGGGGGGGAGCGGATCTGCTTTCTCCACGGATCAGGGACTGGGGAAGACTGGGGAGTGGCGCGGGGGGTGGGGGAGGCTGAGAGAAGCCTCACCGAAACTAGCTTGATTTGGGGTATTACAGAATCACACCAGTCAGAAAGAAAAACAAACCCAGAGAAAGGAATGGGTTTAACGTGAGGGAACTGGGGGGGGGGGTGGTTCGAAGGGACGGGGTAACTGCATGGGGGCCTACTAGAGATTTTAGGCCTCATAAAAAGATTATCAAACTGGGCCCCACAATCCAGACCAATGCAACTATGTTACAGATTTTTTAGGGCCCCTGTCAATCAATTTTTGGTATCCCTGCCTGCACGTTTTGCTCTGGTGAGGAAAGGAAGCAAGGGGCGGAGATTCTGGCCCCACCAGTATGATGTAAGCTTCCTGCCTCTCAAAGAGAAACCTTTCAATCACTCCGTCCAACCAATGATAACGGGGATATTCGATACCCGCTCACCCAATGCAGGGTCATGGTGGTCTGGAGCCAACCCTGGACACAACGGGCTTAATAATCCTGGATGGGGCACCAACCCGTCACAGGGCACTCTCAAAGAGGAACCTTAGAATTCAATTTAATGTCAATCTTTGGCTAAATTCTGGTTCTGTACTTTATTTTGGATTTGCACACTCCTCCCATGCGTAGTCCTTTGGTTTCCTAGTCAATGACAGGCTATTAGGTAAACTGGTGTCTCTAAATTGCCTGTACTGCATGACTGGGTATGAATGTGCACAGTATATTCCTGGTGATGGACTGGCATCCTGTCCAGGGTGTATCCCTGCCCTGCACCCTGTTCTCCTGCAACCCCGACCAGGATGAATGGCTGGAAGATGGATGAATTACTAACAGGGAGTAGATGGAAAGCTAATTAGTGCCATTGTTGTAATGTTATAAAACCAGTTCTGACATGAGGATCATTAGGTCCAATGGTTCCCTATCAGGATAGTGAACTATGGAAGAACTTTACTGTCGACATCTGTGATGGTCTCTAAAAAGGTGGTGACCACTACACTACGGACATGCTGATGACTTCACACCAGCCGCTGCAGTCAAGTTGTCAACTACTTTGTCTACGTTAGCCTAAGCTAAAGTCCCGTTTAGCTGCTGGAGGCTGAGAGCGAGTGACAACGGCAAACGGGCGAATGTCGAAGAGCTGCAGCGTGTTTTGAGTCCGACACGAGCCTCTGGCTTCCCTGGCATCTGCTTAATTAAACCCCCTGAGAAGCCAAAACCGTGGACGTGGGGCGTTAGGGACTTCGAGACACCAAGTCAACAACATGGCGGGTGGCCAGCGAGCTGCCCGACGGAAGAAAAGTCAATCCTGAAAAATAAAATCTGCTGAAATAAAAAGCGAAAACGCTGAAGGACGGACAACGTCTTACACAGCACTTCTGGTCCATTTCGAACCGGCAGGTCGATACCGTGGGGTCCTGGCGCCTCTTTTCATAATCCTTCTCTTATTTGTGGGCTGACTGAGTGCAGATACGAGATAATTAGGTGCTGAGGTGACAGAAATCTCAGACGGAACCATGGAGAGGTTGATTTGAGAGGACCCCGTTGATTAGCGCAAATGGTTTCATTATAACTCCTACAAGCACTAGCATTAACTGTCTTGATTCAGAGTCAGCTGCTGTTACCAAAGTCACCACAGACTAGCACTAATGAACATTTACTGCCTCTGCAGTGCACGCAGAAATGCAGGCTGTACACACACACGCACACGCACACACGCACACCAGTTCAAATAGCTCATAAGGAAAATCAATAAAACATGAGTGATTTAATGCAGCGTCCGTGATGCATAATTAATTTGATTAAAGACTCCCGTTTCCAGCACAGAGTGTCCTTGTCACCGGTCTGCATCCCGCAAGCTGATCCCGATTCCCAACTGGATCTGTTAGCGGACTGCTATAGAAACCAGATTCAAACCTGAATCGTGGCGCCATAAGAACCAGTACGGTAATAGCAACCCACTAAAGCCTAACAGCTGCCCACTGGCCCATCGAGCCACTCTGATAACTGGGATTTTTGTTCTTTCTGGTCTCCCACTAACACACTGATAAATGTAGATCTGCAGCATACATGGTCATTTAAATCAATCATTTAACTTTTTATCATGAATGAGGTCTGAATAATTCCCTTCACTATTCTCCTCCCCGCACACCCCCCCCCCCCCCCCTTAATTATTCACAGCCAGGATATTCATGTCAGATGGCCGGGCTGTGCGGGTGAGTCGAGGTGGGGGGGGGGCCATCAACGGGGCTCACAGGTTACTTCCTTTCGAGCGTCGCGTGGCAGGAATCAAACCGGCTCAGACGACACGCTACATTTGTGAAAGCATCTGAAGGATTCCGCCTTATATATTATTTATTATTATTTACTTCTTTTACCCAAAGCGACAGCTGAATATTTTACTGATGCAATGCGGGGAAAGTGCTGTCCCAACGCCATCATGAGCGCAAACAGATTCTTCCGTCAGGGTTTCTGTCGCGGGTCAAATTCTTTAACCTCTCTTTACGCAACGCCGCTCAGACACACAGTGTCTGCATTTTTATCACATTTTCTAAGTCATCACCTCTTTACTACGTTTAAAGCAGGACAAAACAGCAGAGTCTAAGTGGACTGGATCCAATAACCCTTCGTCACGTTTCATTGTCTTATAATCGGTTTGCGATGATAATCTCCCTTTGCGAGGGGATTTGTGTTGTCGGGGGGAGGGGAGGGGGGCACGGAGGGATGTAAAAACATTAGACAAATGTGGTTGAAGTAATGGTTTAAAAATACAGGGCGGGGGGGGGGGGCACCCCCTGAATGCAGTGGCTTTGCACCCAGAAAGGGCCGACAGATGGAGGGTCCGGGGGTGTTTCTCACTGTGGATGCATGCAGGCAGTGTGGTGGACAGGCCTCTCCTGGCTCGCCTGCCGGTCAGCACTTTTGTGGGGCCTTTGACGAGTGGGGGGGGGGGAGCTTAAGACCCGGGGTGCACGGTGTGGCTAATTGATGGGGCCTGAGCAGAGCGATATGCGTGCGGCCCGTTGGGAAATGAAAAGGAGTCTCTCTAATCGAGCGGCCCCAGGGGCAGGTGGTGACAGGGTGGGGGGTGCCGATAACCAGGTCCACGGTGATGGTGTGGGGGGAGAGGCAGGAATACAGAGCTGCTGAGTGAATCAGAAATGCAGCAGTGACACCTCCCAGGAGGAAGCTTAAAAATTCTTTAGGTCCCTCAGCAGGCTGGGGGGGGGTGGCTGGTGGACAAAACATCTGTATAATCATTTCTTCCGAAGTGCTTGCACAGCACTAAGGCCAGCAGAAAAAAAAATATGCGCTGGACTCTCCCCAGTCAGGAACCTGGGGGGCAAAGACGATTCAAGCCCAGAGTCACAGGGAAGTCAGAGGAGGAGAGTCAGAGGAGAGTCACAGAGAGACATCCCCACTACTCAATTGGACAAAAGGCAGCTCCTTGTCTACCCGTCCATTTAGCCCATAGAGGGGATCTGCTGTATTCGTCTAGCCGGGGGCAGACGTCACCCAGAATCTGGGGTCTGAAGGTGAGGAATGTGGGCCTGCCGTAATGAGGGTAGGGAGGGCGCACACGAGCCCACGGGGGGGGGGGGCGTCTCCGTCTCCCCATCCATGTCAAGCTCTCACATTTTTGTTCGTGTAACAGCAGAATATGGCGTCCGGCGTGTAAATATAGAGCTGCATCACTCAGAAATGTAGAAGTTTACATAGCTCAGGTTCAGTCTCAGTCTTCACTGATGACACTTCCAACGCCCCCTACCCTACCTTGGCTGGCCCCCAGTACCCTCCTCGCCAGCCAACCAGATCGTCCCACTGGACTTTCAACATGTGATTCCCCCCCTGGCTGAATGAGACCTCCCTGTCATCACCATCCCCTTGATATTGACTCATGTCACTCAGACTAATTAACGATTAACTAACGGGTTAAGCCCTGTGACCCTGCTCCTGCTCTCAGGTTCCTCTGGAGGTCCGCGGCCCTGTAGGATATGAACAGCTAATCAATAAAACAAATGTTATTAAATATAATTTACATTAACATGCACACTTTGGGTTTTTCCAGCAGAGAAACAAAGATGAAGAAAAAAAAAAATCACAATTTGTTAATATGTATAAAAGAATGAAAATGATGTTTAGTTATACCGTGGACCCGAGGGTCATTCCCAGCGGCCATAACCACTAAGAGACACAATTAGCCTGCTGTGCTAAAGGGGACCAGGCAGGGGTGACCTTTTGTCCACAGTAGGCGTGCATGGTCCTTAATGAGCTCCTCAGTCTTGCGGTAATGTTCCTCTCCAGTACCAGAATACCACTCATGGCTAAACCACCACCATTACAGTCCTATTTTACAGCTGCCCGCGGCAATGTAATGTGGTGTTATAAAACAAAGTTTTAAGAAAGTTAAATAACTGACTGCCTAGGACCTTTCTGGAACCTTCCACTCTTTGTCCCTTAAATACAGCAGACGCTGAATAACACTAAGGGCGCTTTTCCACCGCACCAGGTACCGTACTTTCGGTACTTCCATAAAGTACCAAAAATATGGTACTTCTTTTGTGTCGGCTTTCCACTGGCGTAAAAACTGGTACCGGCGCCAAATGACATCATTAGTGACCGCCCCTGACTGACATCATCACAAAGCGTGGCGCGGTATTTCTTTCGCTGAATTCAAACATATTACTATGATCCTTCACTTTCCTGTAGCCCTGCTTAAGTTTTTTGATTTTCAAGCGGCATTGTTCAGTGTTTCGCGTGTGCCCCATTTCTTCCAAGCGTCTTGCAGTTACGGCAAATACTTTTTTATTTCGAGTCGTGCCAACCAAATCCCGCTGATTCTGTTCATCCGACCATATGGCGATTAAAGCCTGTGTTTCCTCGTTTGTCCATCCTTACATTTTACTTTTTTAAAAATGTTTTTGTTTCTACTGCTTTTTATTTTGTTTCTCGCTGTTCACTGTGTGTTTCAAAAGATGGCGGTTGTATTTTGTGTTTCAGCGGCAGAGTATTTGCATAACCATTTGACAGCAAATACGTTTGCAAGTCCCACCCCAAAGTATCGAAGTACCAAAGAAGTACCCCAGCTGGTTTGGCACTTTCGGTACTGGAACTTGACCGGAAGTCAATGGAAAAGCGAAAGTACCGTACTTTGTGCAGTGGAAAAGCGCCCTAAGTATCAACTCTGATGTAAACGTGATCCGTAGATAGGAGAGAAGCAGAGTTAATGACTCCAGCTGTAACACTGACAACTGTATGATACCAGCAGCTGAGGAAATGGAATCATGGAGCGGCTTCTATGGTGACCCAGAGGATTCTGGGATGCTGGACAGCGTGGCTTTATCTGGAGGTGAAAATTTGGTTTTTAAAGATTATCTCTGGGGCCAGGACAGAATGGCAGTGAACTCTGAAGGAAGATGAATAATTTGCTTCTTAAAGGCAACATTAAGATACAGACTAAAGATATGCGACACCTGATTAAGAACAGTTTCCTGTTCAATACTGGGAAAACAGGAAACTCCCTACAGCGAACGGAATTTCAAATGTCGCACATTCACCTGCAAACCACGCAGTAGCACTTTGGCTTGTGGCTACGTAACACCCATGAGATCCCAGGTGAGAAATTGCTGTAATACCCTTGAGCTCTGTACACGAACTGCTTCGGTAAAACCGCTGAGATGTGGAGAGGAGGCGTTCCCCATCCCTTATTCCCGACGCTGCCTGGGTGCCTGAGACCCTGTACTGCATCATGGATAAAAACATCTCCTGGAAATTCCTCTAGAAAATAAAGGAGTAGATCTTCAAGGCTTCACACAATGACTAAGACAGCAAATCCAATAAGGGCAGGAGTAGATTTTTTTAATCTTGTACGTTACCCGGGCATAAAAGAGTGTTGCTTCCGAACAGACCTGTGTCACGGTTTCTTGCATCCCTCTGCTTTCCTCTATGCACAATGTGCTTAATTAAACCCCTTGCTGTTTGCGTCAGCCTGCCTAACAGTTGTTAAATCCTGGTGGGACCGCGGGTAGAGAAGCGTTTATTAACCAGGAGATACCTGTCTCTGCTCACAGACTAATCGGCGGATTCACCTGGGATCTTATTTCCTCGCCATGTTGTCATGTACAGTAATGTGTTTCCCGTAGGTGGGGACTGCGAGCAGTGAAAAGCCGTTTCAGACAGCGATCCACCGCAGTTTGCTCCTGAAGCCCGGATGTTTAGCGATCGCCGTTTTCCGAGTGCAGGAAATCTTGATGCTACATTTTAATTTAACTTTGTGCTTTTACTTTTTAGCAAGTAAACATGATTACATGGCTTTATTCAAAATAGATTGAATTTAAACAGTGTGTTTGCTTAATTTGTGGTTCCTTGATCTGGAAGTGGAAAATCAATTATCAAAATAATTGAAGTAATATTTTATTAATAAATTAACTTCTTCCATCAGCTAAGATAAATTAGTCTTTCCACCTCTTATAGTGTGGCAATATAGCAGCTTGAAAAAAAAAAAAGAAAATTCCATCATCACTATTGTATAAATGAGAAGTTTTACTTATATTTTAAAATAATTCAAAGCCTGAAATGCAATGAAAATCAGCCTCAGGACTGGTTATTTTAAAAGTATATATTTGCATCTGTGCCTGTTTTGTTTTCGTGACCCACCATCAAAAGGTTTATTTTTTAGTTTCAGAATATTTCATTTACAAATATTAAACAGAATATTGCAATTAAATACAACCAATTCTCCCTTTGCCGTGCATGTTGCAGGATCACTCATTTCCAGCCCTCTGGTCTTGCTATTCCACACAGGCGTTGCTTGGACCCTATAGCTGAACAGAGCTTTGAATCACGGGGTACTTGAAAAAGGGGGGCAGATTTTCTGCACTCAGCCTGGAGGATCCGAGTCCTACCGTGGCAATAGAGCCGGAAACAGCTGACGACATGCTAAACTGATTCTGCTAATTTTATTGTCACCCAAGTGACAATACGAATGGCAATATGGACATGACATGGTTTGAGTGTCTATGACTTTTTACGGCTGATTGAAAACGGGTGATTCATGTCGATCGCAGGCCTGCCTACATTCCACACAGACTAAGATCTGTCTTAGTATTTTCATTCCCTGTCCTTGCTGTCATTCTGTCCTGATAGCTCTTCCCCCCCCCCATACTTTGCCCATTCCTCTGACTCACCAGTGTTTGTCCTTTCCTGATATTTTTTTTTTTAGCAATCCAATTATCCTTGTATGTCATGTGATCTCCAGTCACCCTGTGCTACCTCAGTGCACCTTAATCCATGACACCTGCTGGATGCTTGCGGACCAACGGGAATCGCAATTCCGGAGCCTGGCTGCTTCCCTGAGCTGTGATTTTACATAAGATACCTCGCCCCAATAAGTGCATGACAACCAGCTCGTTTAATCATAATCAGCTTACATAAAGGCTGTGAAAAGCGGCGTGATGAAAAATACAGATAATGAGCTTGTTTAACAACCGCACAACAGCTGTGATGACCAACTCGTCTGAGAGCTCTGATAACCACTCATCGTATGAATGTTTCCATGTGCTGTCACGTGTGGAAGGTTCTGGAACGTGTCAGCAGCTGGACGGTCACGACATGGCTTTGAAAAGAGCAGACTGTGCCGGAGACCTGGAGAGAAGCCCACATCTGTGACCTCCGCGAAGAGCCATCAGTGAAGAAGCACCTTAAGCCTTGTGTTCACGTAGCTGACACCTAAGCACAGGTACTGAGGTAGGTTTTGGGAACCTCTGTCTGCGACAAACGGCATACCCCAGACATGTAACACAAGAACCCCTCCCACTGCAGAAATTATTCTTCCTGTAGCTCGTATCTCAAAGAGAAACTGACTAGTGTCTCCTTATATCCCGACACCCTGAACCCCCCCAAGTCCCTCTGACCCCCATTCCAGTGTGTTGCCGCACAAAACAGTCTCCTGTCCAAAACACACATGTCCAGCCCTCCCATCTCAATGGCTGAAAAAATTTACAAGGAAATGCACAGTCCGTCCACGGCTGCTGCCTGACGAATCTCCCTAGATCACTGTAACTGCGCGAGCCGGCATTGAAACTGGGCTCTAATTAGGCAGGAAAGATTCAGCACATTTCTTCAGACGGGCCGAGATATTTAGGTCCCCAGATAATAAATAGCTGCCACAGAAAAAAAAAAAACGCAGTCCTGCACCTAATTTGAAGACCACTAATTGCATTTCTAAGATGTACCGGTTCCAAAGGAAGTGCTTGTTCAGGCAGTGTTCAGTTATAGGGCAGGTTTCATTGTGATGTGGTTCTGGGAGTGACCGGTGACTGAACTGCATGTCCTGAGACCCGTCTGACCCGTCTGCGCTTCCTGTCTTGGCTAGTGACTTCCTGTGCCGCCTTGTTGGCTGATGAGATCGCCGAGGGCACGGGCTTGGCCGAATTCCATGGACGAGGCTGGCTCGAAAATGCCAGACCAACCCCTGCGTCTGTCTTGATTTAGTCAATGAAATGTGGGATTTTACATGGTGTATATAATGCTATGGGATTAGCATGCTGCCCGGCTGGTCTTGTCACTGATGGCCTTGGCTGAACCTGTGCTCTGGTTTCATCCCTGTTCCCATGCTGGATTTTAGGTAATCTGGGGTGGCTCGTGGAGAAGGTCCAGTTTTTTTGTTTGATTATTTTTACATTTATTGTTGCTAAAGTTTGATGGTAAATAATGATCTTCTTACCTGCTGATCTTCCATTGCATCTGGGAAAACTCAAAAGATCATCCCTCCTTTTTCTGTTCTCTCTTCTGAAACATGCAAGAGATTTTGTCACCAATTGAGAACCTGCAGAAATGCAGTGAAACGTGCGTACCGCCTCAAAAGGTACCTTGACATGCGTAATGTCACCTTGATAACACCTCCACAAACTCCCTCACCCAGACAACACCTCCACACATCACTGCACCTCCACTCCTCCACACGCTCGGTCTCACCTTCTCGAAGGTCTCCTCGCTCTTGTTCGTCAGTCAAGCAGAAGTGGATCTCCCTCCATTTTTGTGTCGTTAGTCCATCTAGAGAATTTTTGGAGAACTCGTTTCACAATGTACCTAATGGCAGCCGTTCACACGTCTCTTTATGACAGAAGACGGCAATGAGGTGTCAGTCAGGGCAAGGATGGGGAAGTGAAGGAAAACAGCTCCGGCTCGGTAAATAGGGAAGGTAAATGATGGTCTTTACTAAACTGATATTAAATCCTTTATTGCTATTTGTACAAGTAAGAGTACAGATACACTGGAATGTTCTACTGACGCCGGGGTTTGAACCGGAGATCTTCCGATCACAGGCTCACCGTCCCACAGATAAATTGCGATTACAGTATTTTAATTAGCGCCGTTCATGTCACACAGGATGGGCACGTTAAAATAAATTATCAGTAAAACGGCGGACAACGTGAAGCAGAAGGTAGCTGTTTATCACGTTTGTCATCGTGATCAGTTATCTGACACCAGGAAAGCAGTTTAAGTTCCAGTGTAAATAGGGTAATTTATATTCATTTACTGACACTGACTGACAATGTCGGCCCATTTATAAAGTTTAGTATTATATCGGAACGATGTCACTTAAGCCGCTAGCTCAGGGGTGTAACTGCAGGGATCCCGCTGGGACCTCTCTGACCTTTATGCTCCTCTCAGGCACGCATGTTCGCATGGATATGAATAATGACTAAAATGCATTAGCAGTGTGGCAAAGTGTGGCAGTGTTGTCTCTCCCACAGCTAATTCAGATGGTAAAAACCTTGATAGCTGAAGCGAGTCAGCAGGAGGTGGGATAATCACACCCGGCTGGGTTTGGGCGCCTCGCCCCCAAACATGGCAAGCGAAATCCAGCCCTGAGCTTACAGAGATCCCATTTAATGAAACCCAGCTGGCCCGAGTTGGACCAACAGCCTGCTCAGGGCTCTTAAAGGGTCAGCTGGGTGGATTTATGGGGAGAGGAGAGGCACAGAGGGGGAGATACTGTCATTACTGGCACGGTCTTGATTAATTAAAAAAAGTACGCATGCGTGAGTTTGAGTAAATGTAATTTAGATGAAAATTGAACAGCCGAAATTAAGCGAATGCTTTACCCGCCCATAGAGCCCAGAGTGCCGCTGGTTTTATGAGAGTGATGTCAGCAGTTTCTGCTTTCTGTCTGTAAGCACTTCGAACTGCGTGAAGCAGGATCCCACTCTGGGGACTCGAGACTCTCACCTCCAGCATCATCCGCCGCCGACTCCATCGGTCACGACCCGGCAGTCTGGTGCCCGACTCCGGCCCCTGTGGCAGGCAGCCGGACAAACGGCAGCCATTCTGTGTGAGACAGGGCGGAAGGAATGAGGGGACCGGGAGCATTTCAGCTGCTTTGTTTGCAGCGATTACACTTAATGGATTGTCTTCTCTGAAACGGCCTCATAGAGCTTGAAATAACATGCTCAGCCTATCTATAGAAGCAGGTATTTTGAATGTTAAGATGGCATCTCCCTACAACCATTAAAGGTCCCAAACAGGCAATCTAACAGGCCTCGCATCAAACGCTAATCCGACACTTTAAATTCATGCCGCTACAGCGCCGAATTCCCCTCCTCTGTGGGGTTTTCCTGCTGCATTTAATTGAGAGCCAGGAAGTCAGTGGCCTTTCTCAATTTTCTACAACACACGGGTAACGACACTAACAAGATTTCATTTGTTATAATCATTCCCCGCAACGCCGAGGTGCCCGGCGGCCCACGTCTGACGTAAGCATCCAGCCTTGCCTGCATCTCAGCCCCTGTTCAGGCTGAAAATGCCAGATTCCTGCGTGAATTCCATCTGTTCATGGGATGGGGGGGGG